GATCCAAACTCTTCTCATGGAGAGTGAGAGCTATTTGTGCTCGACGACTTATCGTTTTCAAAATGACTTGCACTTGGCCAAAGAAAACTTGTGTTTTCCAATTTCAGATTATGCAACTCGAGAGTGATTTATGAACATGACAGATAATTTTTGAATAGAAAGCCGAGATGTAATTAAGTGGAACTTATTAAGTGGTATTACCAGGTCTAGTTTCTTTTCATTTCAAGAGTTACTTTTTGCATATAGCTAAAACAATCCAAAATTCATGTTTTAAATGGCAAGGTATCAAAAAATGCAAGATTCCTGTTTTCTAACAAATTATTGTTATTTTGTAAATTTTGAAAAGTAAAATGAAAGCAAGATAAAAAATGTGTATGTTTTTCAGTACTTACACATTTGATATGAAACATATAAAAATATTCAAGCATGTGCCCAAGGCTGATATAGAATAGGGCTGAAAATTGTTGATTTCAGTTTTTTTTTATGTCTGGTAGATCGGTAATCAAAGCATTGATAATGATAATGTACATTGCCTTCTATACAATCAAGCCCTCTGGTTAGATCACTGATCTGTGAAATCGGCAAACAAAAATTTTTTTTCCACGAATTCCTTTTTTATTCACAAAGGTAGTTTATAGAAACACAATACAAGATCTAATTTGTTGAACATACATTTTTTTTTAACCAACAAAGATTTTCCTCTCATGTTATCATGTTTGTTTTTCTAGCACAAGCCGTCCCTTAAGTTTACTTAAGAAAGAAAAACCCATTATTTCAGATAGACCTAGGTGTTTGAAATAGAATGCAGAATTTTTATATTTTGGACGAACATAACTGCATTATAATTCAGTTAGGCATTGATCCGATTCTGAGTGTATCGTAGCATCGGTACATCTGGGTCATAGGTCGGCAGATAGGATCGGTATTAACCCGGTATCATAAATCTAAAACGTGGATGCACACATTCAATATAACTAAAATATTGAATTTTTTGGAACTTTGCAGTGGATCAGATAGATTTGATGCCCAGATAGCATTGAGGAGATCTATACGGTGTTTTAGTTTTGAACCATCTGTGTCGGATATTGTTTATTTGGAGGCCCCTTTGTGTGGCATATGTTGGAGAGAGAGAGGGTGAGTGCCAGAGAGGTTGGAATTTTTTGTAGGAAGTGGGCAGGTTACGCATGATTGGTCACACATGCAGGTGAGATTTCACATTCTATTGCACTGTTTTTTGGACTTTATATAGTATGTTTTACTCTTGAATGATGTGAAATAAGATGTTGGGAGCTATATTGAAACCTATCAAGTCAGTATGACTATCGATTTATAACTTCTTTAATATTGTATTTTGATACAATACAGAACCCTTGCATAGATTCACAGTTTTCTACATGTTCTATGATATAAGACTTGGTTTTGAATGAAATAGATCAAAGACTTGATTGAAGTACACATTTTACTGCATATAATGCAGCAGACAACTGATGTAGTGTGGAACATTGGACATATACTTCATGGTAAATTGACAGAATGTTGAGCTTTTAAAATTTGAGTTTACAGCTCATATACTATGTGGAATTGAATGTACAGGTTTTGTGTTTCAGAGCAACCGAACATATCATTTGGAGATCACATTCTCTATACTATTAGAGGTATTAATTTTCTTCTATTCTCTGTTGGTAATGATGTCAATACTTTTACTGTTTGTTAAGTCCATCCTTTGTGTTTTTAGGTTTTGGGGATAGAAGGGGAAAGTATTGGCTTTTTGCTTATTTGCCAACTCGTTTATTACACTCACAATGGAATGCCTGCATCTCATAGACAGGGTTATGGATATATCAATATTTTTGTTCACACCAGTAAATGGCTATTCATCTCCGGGAAGTGACAGGAATTTCCAATCTTATCGTATGGTAATCTAATTTGTGCTCCGGCACCGTTAGACTTGGGGGACTGTCGGTGACACTTGAAAGACGGACCAGAGGTCCCCAGTGATGGTTTTCTGATCAAGTGCCAGTTTTTGGAAAGAGACTGTAGGTCTTTGATGCCAGGGACTTGCTAACAGTTCAGTCCCCAGAGAGTAGGGTGGAATGACAATATACAAGTTTAGAATGATGATATGGATATTTGGTGTGAAGTACCTCTTTCATTTTCTCTTGACAGGCAAACAGTGGTGATTTTGGAGAAGTGCAGGCTGATTAAAAACAAAGCCACTATTTTTTCACAGAAATATATATGTAGTTTTAGGCATACCCTGTAGTAGTCGTAAAAGTACATCAGTTGTAAGGACATGAGCATGATCATGATGCAGAGGTCAGATGAATGTTTTGTTCATACAAGCCTCTGAGGTTAAGAGGGTAATTAAGTGTTGAAGGAGGGAGATAATTCAGAGTGTATCATAGAGCAGTTAGTCACCATTGGTCACAATTTATCCCTTGTTTTTATTTGTACAGTGAGCTTGAAATCAGACTTGGTAGAATATTTTTATTATATCGCTTAATGAACCATTTATCATAAGTCTCCAAATAATTCTCTTCTTGATAAAGAGTTTATGAATGTGAAATTATAAAACTGCAAAAAGATAAGAGAGGGCTGTTTGAACAGGGTGCATAATTTCCTTAAAATTGAAATCACAGCTATACCAGGTATTTTATTGACACACACTCTGTGAATCACCACCAGACCAGACTTAATGCAATGAAGCCGCTGTAAGTTTATCTTGTTAAAATGCTGATTTCTTATCAGTGTTACCCTCTTTATTGGGTACGTCAATGTAATACACAAGGTATGTGATACTGAAGTTTGTCTAATAGTATGAGTTCATAAGTATTGAAGCAAGATTTATGTATCAGTTAAATACAAATATGTGATATTAGACTCTAATACATGTTATGTCCATGGATTAAAATGTATTAAATCTATGATGTTGGACCCATATAATATTTGAGGGTTATTCGGTCTTGTATGTTTATAATGTAACTTGATTCCTGTATGGACCATGCAGATGTGTATAGATCTCTTAGACTAGAATATGATTGTAGGAAAGTTTTACACTCCTATTTCTAGAGTAACAAAATGCAAAGAAAATTTCAGATATATCTCTGCTTGCAAGATTACCGAATTTTATTGACAGCTTTCAAACATAAAATGAATTTTATTATACATCATGTATTATAAATTAAAGTCAAGAAGCATAATAGGGGCCATCATTTAGAGTAGCTGTCAATACATACATTCACTGAAAATTAAATTTTAGTTTGATTCGTGTACAACTGTCTGAACAATTTAAACTCAGATAAATTCACAGTCATACATGCAAGGTAAAAGGGACATATAACATAAGTTAATGTACATGTAGCATTGTACACGCAATTATTTCATGGTTTTACAACCATCTCCAACAACCCAATTTTTCACAGAAGTTTTCTGTGATGTCACCATATCAAAAGTTCAATGTGATGTGCAAATCAGGCTGGACAAAAACAACAAAAATCATTTGAGCAATTTTTCCACATTGATTTTTAAGTTGTTCATACATGAAAATTTATCCTGCAAAGTAGTAATGAACTCCCTTTTGACGATATTCTTGTTATAAAGAAATACTTTATGGATTGTCGATTAATCAAGGTCTTCTACAAAATATATTAAAAAAATAGGCATTGCACGCGTGTTCTTGGTTAGATTATATTATTTGTCTACACTAGGAGATTTTAATAATATCAAAGCATTTAATCCAAAAGTATTAAAAAATGCACTCATACCTGTATTTTTATTTTATTTCGAATATATTGCCTATATACACAGAAACAATTTACATATACTCAATAGGTGACTATGCTTAGCTATAGCATGATAAGCTAAAAGACCAATGTGAAAAACATGTAATAATTAATTTCCATGGTCAATCTAGTTGTTATGAAGTTCAACAGCGACATTTTTTTTTTTTTTTTTTTACATATAATCAATTATCACAGAAGTTTGAAGTAATAAATGAATATGAAATGTGATAATATCATAAGTTCAATGTAGAAAAAAAATATATATTGGTATAATCCATCTTGTTGGTTACATTATCTTTCAAAGCATTTTATCAAAAAATAAGACATTGCAGGAATATATCTATTATATTGGTTATTTCAAGTGTTGACAAAAACAGCAAAAATCATTTGAGCAATTTTTCCATAAGTTTATGATTTTTAAATTGTTCATACAATTTGAGATTATAAATCAAATATACCTGTACAAGAGCTCCTGTACAAAGTAGCAGCATGCAGGTAAAGAATTAGGCTGAATTTAGGACTAAAAAATCCACATTACTGGTACCTGTATAGTGTTTATATTTATATTTTTTTGTAGATGCTGTACGGCTGACATGATATGTGGTTTGAGGTAGAATGAGCCCAGACTCTGGGGATGAGTGACCCCTTGTCCCCGCGGGGCCCCAGAAAGGGCAAGATCGTCAATATCAGGATCAAGTTTTTGGATGACACCGTACATGTTTTTCAAGTCCCGGTGAGTTCATTTTTTGTTTGGAACTACAGAATTAAAGTTGTATATCATTATAGACATGTACTACAATAAATTCTCTTGTAAGTCGTGTTTTACAACTATCTAGAGAAATCGTTCTTTGAGCACTGAGCCCCCACAATGTAACCTCCCCCCCCCCCCACCCCCCAACTCCCACTGGAGTATAATTGGATAAGTTCCATTTTGGCTGTGGAAATCCACAAATATTTCTAATCAGAGCATGAAATAAAAGATGCACAATAACACTGTGTTATAAAGAGTCCGTTAAAGTCCCATCAAGTTCTGTTCTCTGGTGTAAGAGTTGGAGTTAATAAGAGATGGATACCCCAAGTGGTTCAGACAGAAGGACATACAGACATATGGATGTATACCCCAATTACTACTTCCCCCCCCCCCCCCCACACACACACACACACACACACACACACACATTTTAAAGGGATGCAGAGCTAGCTTTTTAGGGATATGAATTAATTTCTGATGGTTTATCCTGTTGAGAGAGCATCTTGCAGGTCTTCGTATATCAGTGTCATGGCATCCTGTTGTTCTGTCTGGGATCCATCAGGAATACTGTACTGGAACCACTGTGCCACTCTTCTGACTTGTTGTTGTAGAGTTAAAATGTATGCTGGGGATAACTGGGAGAGGAAATCATATACACTATTGCTCTGAGAATGCATATAATCATAAGGAATGGTGATGGTGAATTCGGTGAAGTTGAAGTGATTTTGGAATGCCCAGGCAGATGGATGGTCGGGATAGGGAAATAGAACGGGGATACACCCACTTAAGAGGGAGTCGTAGAAGGACTTCCGGGTGGGGGAATCCCCTGGGGGCTGCAGACAGAAGACAGAACGTAACATCCAGGGAATTGTACTATATTTAGCTCTTTGATCACATTCCCTCGTTTTCAACATGACCATATTGAGGGTGAAGTTCTTCTGTCTAGATTTCATGAATTCTTGGTAGGACAGGGTGGTTTTATTGGTGAACTGGTCTAGAATTATGTTACGATATGGAGTGGATCTTCTGGTACCTGCTGCTAATAGTATGAAGACATTCCGCTGCAAATCGACAATGACGCGGAAGTCCGGTGGAAAACGGGATTTTCCTGTCAGGTGAATGTAGCTTGGGTATGGCACTGAGATGACTTTCCGGAGGACCCTGGAGTATTTTGTTTCCCTCTCGATCGACAAGAAGGTGATATTCCGTGTCTGAGGGTGAGAGAGATAAGGACAGCTGCCCTTAGATGACATCTCCTTCTCAATCTTTCCCACAGTGGAAAAATGGGGTTTTCCACCAGAAAAGTATGGCATGGCATTCAGGTAACTAAACAATTCGTTGATCAGTGATATTGTGGTTTTTACACGGGGATAAGAGGCAAGCAGACACTGTAGGCTTATGTAGGCTGGGATGTAGAAGTAATCAGCCTGGTTCGGATCAAGTGTTCGATAAGGGCTGAATCGTAACTGATGGTGGATGAGAACCTCCAGCGAGAACTGATGGCTGTCGTGAACATGAACACCTTGTTCAATGGCAAAAAGTCGGTCTCCACTTCCACAATATTCAAACGAGTAGCACTCAGGGTGTTTGTGCGTGAGACCAGTTTGAATGTCTGTGTTAAATTTCGGAGGAAGCTCATAGATGTAGATTTTGAAAGGAGTTTGGAAGTTTGAAGAAATTGTTGCTTTAGATCCTGAACAACTTCTTGGATTGAAAGTGAAGTTTTGTCTAAAAAAGGAAAAAAATGCAAATTGGTAAAATATATATATAAAAGAACACTGAAGGGTGTAATGGAAAAGAATTAAAGAGTAGATAGGTATGTTAACATGATGAAACTCTTTGCAGATGTGTATTTAGCTGCAAATGATTTAGTTATCTCTACAGGATTATCGTATCTTAGCTGGGGAAAGATTAAATTTATGTTTATCTGTAAAAAAATATTGAAACAACATTTTGTATCCATATGTATACATGAACTTAATTTTTTCCAGTATTGAAAATTTCAGGGAAATTCTACCAAATTTCGGTAGTTTGGATTCATTGCAAAGTCTGAAAACAGTGAATGCAAAACACATGCATTGAAGACAATGAACACACGGTTAATTATTTGTATATCCTCACCTGTCAGATTTAGCATTTTTCATCAACAAGGATTCCTTTGAAGCATGAGACCTTGCCCTCACTTTCCTAGGAGGTACTAATCTACTGTCAGATGCATGATGAAGTACAAATTTCTTATTAAGAGGTACTGATTTTTTACTGGGACTGACAGATTCCTCACTGAAGGATACTGATTTTTCACTGCGACTTGCAGAGTTTTCACCGAGATCAGCTACAGTGTTTTCACGGAGAAGTACAGAATTCACAGCTGCTACTGATTTTTTACTGGGATTCGCAGATTCCTTACTGAAGTTAACTGTTTTTTCACTGAGATGTGCAGAGTTTTCACCGAGATCAGCTACAGTGTTTTCACGGAGAAGTACAAAATTCACAGCTGCCCTTTCTTTCAGGGATTCTGTCCGGTATCTCGGAATAAGATATTTCCTGTGTACAACATATTGGTAGAGAAAAATAACCTGGATAATGAACAGTATTCCAATGATACCTTGTAGAAACCGTTCAGTTCGGGGGGAGAACCTCATAGGGATTCCCATGAAAAATCCCAGGACATTTTTTTTACCTCAAGAAATTCTTTTGAATTTGGTGGTCAAATTCTGCATTCCTTAATCTTATATGGAGATTCACGTACATGCTCGGAGTTGTAGTTCAGTCCTACTTGTGTAATTTATCCTACATATAGGGAAGTATATGCAGAAACACATCTGTTACAGGATACGTTTGATTAAAAATCCGGGATACACAAAGGGCATCAAAAGAGGTTCGGACAATAGACATCATGTAACATCTTGAGGTGTATATATACATATATATCACCTACATGACCAAGGGGACCTGAAGAGTTTCTACGTAATGAATATATAATAGATCCTGTTTATATTATGGTATAGAGCTTGCTTCAGGAAAGGGCAATGGGGCAATTGTCGGTATTAAATAATCATGATAATTGATAATTATAAATGTAAATTGGATAGAAATGTTTTATTGGCATGTGTTGGATAAAACTGTTCCAAGTACCCATTCAATTAGATTAAGCACTAGAAGTGGGGATCTGTATCATCCAGCAGTATTTCTTGTATTGATTTGTTTTCTATCTTGGCCTATACAATATTCCTTGGTGTCAGTGATAGATGTACACTTCTAGTATGTAATCCAACAAAACTGATTCCAAATACTTCCTGAGTTTTATGTATTATTAAAAAAATACCCTGTCTGTCTGTCTATCTGTTATGCTTTGGGGTAGCTATCTCTTGTATGATATCCACACAATGTTCACAGATTCTTTATTACATAGTGCCATTGTGACCTCCTATTTTACTTTTTGATTGGACACTTATTTCAGGTCTCCCAAAGCAAAACATGAACTTTGCCAATATTATAATATGGTAGGCGAGGGTATCATTTTGTGAGCTCAGTGCTCACAGCATCTTTGCAAGCCAAGGGTTTTTCATCCACTCCAGAGTTGTGGAAAACTTTTTCAGTAGCCATCTTTGGACTGGCTGCAACTCCTCTTATAGTTGAATTAATTCGCAAAATGGAAAAAAGCATAACATTTATTCATTTTATAATACATCTGTTTAATAAATCATGTTGTTAATAAAACAAACTTCAGTCTCCATTTCCAAGCAGGGGTTCAAAATTTTTTTTGTCATTGGACAATGACTTATTTTGTGTTTCTCCCCTATAGCAAAAATTTATGTTACTTATAATTTATTTTCATTTGTTGCATTGAATGAATAAAGACTATATGTATTAAAATATGTTTTATTTTACCTCCATAAACTGTCATATAGTCATACACGAGTATTTCAACACAATACCAGACTGATAGATTACTGGTACATTACAATAACTTTTACAAATACTTCTATTGAATAAACCATCTGTTAAAAATAAAAATTAGAATGTGCTGTAAGTCACAAAAATTTAACAAACTTTGCCGTTTGTTATATAGAAAACATGTTGCGTAAAAGCAAGAGTTTAAAAAGACGGATTTCGTTCGTAATGTTTTATGGGTATTTTAACGCCAACAAACCCACATTTTTACATAATACATTTGAGAATTTGCTTTATTTTTAGCTTTACGATCATTTTTTTAACTTATAAAAAAAGATAAACAAGAAACATAGCCAAGTCCCAGGACTTTGGTGAATTCTAAGCCAATCTTTTGCAAATGTATGACTTGTTTTAACCCCTGGTACTTTCCGTTTTCTTTTAATTTTGCATTTATAACAATACTACTAGTAGATACAATTCTACCACCACATTTTGGCAGGTGATAATGCTAATTCAGCACAGTCAACGTAATTTTTTAAAACATTTATACATTTGGGAATTATAGAAAATGGGTCTAAAAACTCTTTGCATCGATAATCTGATAATAAAGATATCAGCACGATCGGAGAAAAAATGAAAATCCGGGACAGACGGAAATACTAGGTTAAATGCTGTCTCCACCTGCATGTGCTTGAATTCTTTCTGTTGAAATTTTTCATATTACCTTTTAACCTTGTTTGACAGGTCAAGGACATTATGCGATAGAGGTCCCTATGGGAGTCGGCAATTTTTCATGCACCTACAGTTTTGGTCTAATTTCAATATAACTTGGCACACAAGTAGACTACACTTGGATACATAATTCTGTGTATCGGTTTTTGATTCTGAACGGTGTTGCTGTGGTTACTAAAAATAGAAATTTCTGTGAAATTCTTTCACTACTCCTCCTACAGTTTTGGTCCGATTTCATATAACTTGGCACACAAGTAGACTACATTACATTTGTTGTACTACACCAAAGGTGTTTATTAAAATTTTTAAATTCTTTCATTGCTCATTTTCATTTAATTTGGCAAACAAGTATACACTAAGATAATAATTCTGTGTATCCCTTTTTGATTTCTAAATTTTTTTTTACTAAAAATCAGAAATTTCTGTGAAATTCTGGCTACTCCTCCTACAGTTTTGTTTTTCAGTTAACTTACACACAAGTAAACATGTTACATAATTCTGTGTATCACAAAACCAGAGAGATTTAGAAATTTCTGTAAAATTGTTTCAAAATGCTACTCCTCCCACAGTTTTGGTCCGATTTCAGTATAACTTGGCAAAATTAAAAAAAAACATAATATGGTGGTTTTTGATTTCGACTGGTTATTTTACAAAAATAGAAATGTCTGTAAAATTGTTTCAAAATGCTACTCCTCCTACAGTTCTGATTTCAGTATAACTTGGCACACAAGTAGACTACACTAAGAACATAAAGAGACTTTATCAACGATCATTATTCTATTTAATGCTGTTTATAAAGTTTCCCCAGCTGCTTAGTACTTTCTCTTCCTTTGCTATAAGTTCAAACCAGTAGAGCTTCAGTCTCGACAGAGACTTCTGGTTCTTTAATATGTTTTCTACCTAACTCGGCCCCAGTTGTGAATTTAATAGGTCACACAAGTTTTGCTTTCAGGTCGAATGTTTAAAGAATAGGTATTACACAATCGTATATAAGAGTAAAATTAAGATGTTGCACAAAAGAAAAAAACTTTAACAAAAAAGGGGCTATCTGGAACATTGATAGCATTTTTACCGGTCATGCGAATTTTAAGCCGGTTTTGCCGGCATGACACAAGTTAAAATCATGTCCCCATAAACATTTATGAAACAGAGTAAAATGTGCTCACAGTACCTCTAGTTCATTTTTTTTAAAAACACTCTTTGTCTTTTAAAAGCGTCAGTAAAACATTTTACTTGTCAATGTGTTTTTGGCCTTATTTCTTACAATCATGAAAATTAAATGGCGATCTTTTTTACAAATTTATGTGATTTGTTTAGAAATAAAAAACATCTATATTCAACTATTTTTACATGTTTAAAGACTCTGAAGATATTGCTTTTGATTTGGTACTGTCGTGAAATAAAAAGGTCCTTGTTTGTAAGATGTCACAGAGATGGTACTTCCTCCCTTTATAATGAGAATGACCTTTTAACCTTTTTTGACAAAAAACATTATTAAGGCGGCAGTTCATCACCTACAGCTAGTGGAGAGTGACTACTTTGGTCTGCAGTATGAAGATTCTCACGGGCTCAAGGTAAAACCTCGGGAATAAGGAGCATTACTTTGTTGTACTACACCAGGTTTTATGAAAACTAAAAAAATTCTCATTTCAATGTAATTTAATTGTCAATGCACTTCACTCTACTTTTCTCTGAAAACCAAAGGTCTGGCTGTCTCACTTTTCGTTTTTACAGTAAACATGTAATCTTTTTCGCAAAACCAGAGAGATTTAGTCCTGTGCATATGTTGCCACATACGTTGAAAATTTAAATAATATGGTGTTTATTGACTTTATTTCAGTGCTGGTTGGACTATTTTTAGCTCCCCTGAGGAGTTCCTGGTGAATTTTGGCATGTTGGAGGAGTACACAAGGTAATGTAAAATCTATAAAACAGAGTAAATTTACAGTGTAACCTCAAAATTGGCATGTTGGACAAGGTAAAATCATGTCTGAAATATAAAAATTATTCTGTGTTACTTGGTATTTGTAATAGCTTACTCATAAACAGTATTAAAGTTTTTGTTAATATCACTGAAATTACATCATCCAGGGATATGAAACAACAATGTTGAATAAGGTGCTTGGAGTTTCCAGATCATTTTGAAATATCTATAATATTTGAAATATCAATTTTCAAAGTAACAAAGTTAAGCTGTAAAACTGATTGTGTAAAAGGCATTCCTTAGCTAAAAGAATGGAACAAAATTAAGTGCTACTGTAAAAACTTACTCCCATATTATTTTTGTGTAAAAGGCATTCCTTAGCTAAAAGAATAGAGAAGGGATTTTTATGATGTGAAGTGTAGTAATGAAGAATTTAAAATTTGATTTTGTGAGTTAACGTTTTCTTTTGTTTGTAGGTACCTGTACAGTCTTCAGATAAAGAAGGACCTGACTAGTGGCTCCATGGTGTGTAGTGAGAACACTGCAGCTCTGATAGCCTCCTACATTGTACAAGGTAACAGTCTTAAGTCCACGGGGCAGGGAATCTAGCATTGTACTAAAATAGGCTTATATTGAAGTGCCAGTAATAGACAATTTTGCATTATTATAAGTATAATTTGTTAAACAGTGAAACACAATTATAACTCAGTGCCAGGGATGGATGATTTTGCATGATGAATATTTGTGAGAAAAATTTTCAACTTTGCTGAAAAAGTACTGTGCTTTAAGCTACAGTAATTTCTGTTTGGCTTGCATACTGAGTTTACATATATTTCAATTATTATGTTCAAGCTAGAACTTTGTCAAAGATTTTCATCTTATGATTATGTGAAAAAGATAATTTTTCAGAATCATAGTATTTCTGATAATTGTATTCCTCTTGTTTTTTGGCAGCTGAGATTGGGGACTTTATCATAGAGGAGTATCGAGATTACACGTACTTGAAGGTGCTGGGTCCATTTGTTCCAAACCAAACGGAGGACATGTTGAAGAAAGTCGCAGAGTACCACAAACAACACATGTAGGCAGTATTTTAGAAAAAAAAACTTTTGAGACAGTGTTTACAATGTTGTACACACACACGTTGGTCATATTAAGATCGACCAAATGTTTGTGCTTTTCAAATTGTTTTGGTCAACTTCAATTATGAGCCTTCATTAACCATTTTGACCTTTCAAAATATTGTTACTGGAATTTAAATTTGAAAAAAAAATTAGATATATATGTAAATTTACTACCTTCCTTGATTCCATGCTCAAAACATCTGCAAAAAAGAAGATAAAAAATCTCAGTTATTGATGTATTGATTGAAGCGTGAATTTAGGTACTCAATATATTTTTTCACGTTCAATCCAGGGTAGAAAATTTGAGAATTTCTGAGACTGCTATTATATGAAATTTCTAAAATGCACCTGAAGACTGCAACAAATTTTCATGGAAAATTTTTGACTGCGGACCTAGCAAAAAAGTTATCCTCAGCACAAACAGTGACCACCTATAGAGTCACCATAGTCACCATGGTTACCCTGTAAACAGTGATCTTTAAAAAGTTTGCAATAAGTATTGAGCCATTAACGGGGATATTTACTTCCTAACAATGACGGAAAAGAATTTCATTAAGAGCCCTTTATTGGGAAGTTATTTGTTCGGCAATAATTACAGTTTGATTTGTGAGAGGCCAGAACCATACAAAGTGTCAGATATTGATGTGACTTTAAGCTGCAGTTATTTGATTTTGTACGGCAGGTAATGTGCTGGTAAAATTGAAAAAATTATTTATTTCAAATGAATTAATGGATACCATTCATACATTTCATTTTGAAATTAAAAAATTCATTAGACTTGATTTGACCATTCATCATGTTACTATATATCAAAGTTCTCCAGGAGGTCATATTGCAGGAAGACTAGCTTAGACAGTGTTTTCCCTTAGAACAATATACTGGCCTTTGATCACTTTAATAGTTAAAAATGCCTCTCAGAATTTTTTTAAAATCAAAATTTTAAAATTGTTTTAAGGTTCACAAAATTATGTCATGAACAGAAAGCCTGTTTTAAATGATCTCTAACCTTTAACTTTGAACAAAAGGGAAAATGTTGCTAATGATAAGTCTTGGAGCCCTTTTGTAAATACTATTTAAACATGTGAGTTAGGGGTGCAATAAATGATTGAGATGTCAAAGTGAAAAAAAAATGTATCCATTTATACATGTTATATGTTGCAGTTGATTAAAATTCTAATGTCATTGATTGGCTGTTATTTTTACAGTGGGGAAAGCCCTGCGGAGGCTGAGGCAGGACTCCTAGATACAGCCAGAAAAGTAGAAACTTACGGAATGAAACTTTGTCCAGCCAGGGTAAGCTGGAAAGAGGAAAAAAATGGGGGGTGGGGGTGGGGGGTGGAGTATCTGAATAAGCTGTTAATATTTTGTAAAATTTTGCTTAGAAATTGAGACAAAAATGCTGTCAAATCTGTTACTATACATTCTCTTGACTCGAGATGATGATGATAAAATTAATATTTCTTGTAAAAATTTTGTAAATTTTGATCAAGGAAATTTTAACATTTAGTACATGTATTCACAAATATAAATGAGATACTATATATTATGTGCAGTGAATATGTGAATTAAGAACAATGACTTTTCATTCTGCAATTCTTTGTTACAGGACCACGAGAATGTGACCTTGAGTCTGGCAATAGCTCACATGGGCATCTTAGTCTTTCAGCAGTTCACTCGCATCAACACATTCTCATGGGCAAAAATAAGAAAACTCAGTTTCAAGCGAAAGCGCTTCCTCATCAAACTTCATCCAGAAACGTACGTCAGTGGACAGAAAGTAAGTGTTGGATGTCCGGAGTTCAACATTACCATTACATTTTCATAAATTCCATCTCATTGTTGCCCCCCTTCGAAGAAGGGAGGGCATACAGGTCCTTTTTGTTTGCGTTCATTTTCCTTGCAACCGTTGCACATACTGAAATGAAATTTGGTATACTAGTTTTCAACTAATTATTGCTAAATCTTATCAGTGACACGATTGGGAATTGCAACTCAATACCATTTATACATGCACAAATCCGCCTGCGATTGCATAAAATATGATTTATATTCAATATCATTCACTCACAAATTCAAAATGAAGTCCAAGTTGATGTACAATTATATGTACAAGATGAAAAAAAGTTTGTTTATCATTATAAATGTCTATGTTTTTTACACAGGGTTATTACAAGGACACAGTGGAGTTCTTCTTTGACAGCCGAGACTGCTGTAAGAATTTCTGGAAGAAGTGCTTGGAACATCATGCTTTTTTTCGCTGCCATAGAATCAAACCAGTGCCAAGAAACAAGACACGACTAGTTAGTCATGGTTCTTCATTTAGGTAAGTTTGATGGTACATGTACCTCCATGTCTTTCATGCCATTTAAATTTAATAATTGAAGTTTGTATGTAGAAACAGTTGCACCATATTCTCCACATATACCATATCTGTTTCAGTGACCATTAATAATGATGTTTGACATATTCTAGCTTGGAAGTGAAAGTACAGCTTTTTTATTCTGATCCTTTAATACCAAAAAGAAAGAAATATTTAAATGATTCTTAAAGAAAATATTTAAATGAAATGGCTTTTTTTAGTGAAATGACATTTAGTTAGGCTATCTAGAATTTTTATACCTCATGGCAACATACTCTGTTATTCTAACAGATGTCTGATGCTCAATAACGATGACCACCCCCTCCCCCAAACTGTATTATTGTATAATTTATAATTAACTTATAAGATTATGTGATTTACAAACATATTTCTTTTTACTCACACGTGTTGAGATTAGTGGGACTGAGGCTCTGAGCCAATATTGAAGGACTTGGATTTTTTCCTCAAGAAAGCTGGGTCGTAAAATTTCCATTAAGTGGGTACTATATCAGAACTGACTGCTTTATGAGGAGGGGAAGAATGTGTTAATCATTGTGTCATTGGTACCTAGAGAATTTCCATATCTTTGTGTGTGTTAATGGTTAACCACGGTTAATGGTTTCAGTGTTCTTTTTTTATATGATTTCCCCTTCAATATATGCACTTGACTTAGGCCCTTGACATCATTCAACTAGGATTATTATTTTAAGAAACTGGAAATGATGAGAGATATATTTCTAATCTCTATGCCCCCTTTTCTTTTTTTATTTGGAAAGGGGGGGGGTCTGGTTAGACCATATGAATACTCTGGAGAAATTGTACAGCTCTATTAGCCAGATGCTGAAAAAAAAATGTCAGTGGCTCCAATTGAAAATTCAGCCTGGAAATTTGATTTTTACTGAACATGCAAATGTCCTTCATAAAGTTTGATTAACTGGGAGATAATGTGACTCCTTGATGTGGTTTTATGCTCTCTGACACGAATGTTGATTTGATTATGGCAGATACAAGCAGGGATATTCTGTTATTGATTGTTAAGTTCTTTTGGTGTTTTGTAATGGTTATTCTAGCAAAAAGTGGGGAGGGAGGGGGAGGATAGAAGGTACTTAGATTTTTATTTACCCCACCACCCATACATTTTTAATTACCTTCTCCCCCAACTCCCCTGGCATCAGATACAAAACACTTTTGCTACAGCAGTAGGAAAGATCATTTGAAATGCTGTCTAATCCATCCTGAACCAATCTTTTCTGGAAAAGGTCTAATCCATGTACAAAATATCCCTTGAGCATTCATAGGTTTCATATTAGTTTAAAAGACTATTAAGCAAATTAGATACTAAAAACTAAAATATGAAGGTGAAATACAAATTGTGGAATAATCATTATTCATGGGGGGACCAATTTAACATTTCTTTTGTAACTCTGTCGATTCATGAAGTACCATAAAAATGAGTATCCGTAAAATAGCATCCCCATGAACAAATAAATTTTTGCTTACCCATAAACATTGATTTCAAGGAATTGAAATGATCCTACAGTATTTCTCACCTAATGTTCGGGGGAAGTGGGGGGGGGGGCATATGAAGTACTTTCACTACTTTGGTTTGGTTATGTAAAATTTTCTTTGTTTATTGTGAATGATGAAAAATGAAGTTTTTTTGATCCACCTCTGTATTCTATTGATGTCTTTACAGGTATAGTGGAAGAACACAGAAACAGCTGATGAGCTATGTACGAGAAAACCCCATTACTCCACAGTTCCAAAGGTATCTATCTCAAACCCCTTCACTGTTACCATCCTCAAGTCATTGTCACTGGCTACCATGTGGAGTGTTAGATTGTCATTGGCTACCATGTGGTGTGGTAGATTGCCATTGGCTACCATGTGGAGTGGAAGATTGCCACTGGCTACCATGTGGAGTGGTAGTAATGGTTTTCAATGATTTCTAATCTTAGCCTCTTGCTTATAGGAAACTCTTAGTTTGGCATCATTATAGGGGCTTAGTTTATATGTCTTATGTTAGGGATTTTTAATGCTGGTACGTTTATACACTACTATATAAACTTTTTAGATATTTGACTTCTCCTTCAGAAACATACAACAATTTTTTTATGAGCTTAAAACTAAAGGGGATATTTTCACACCATGCTTTAATCCAAGAAAAGATAAAGGATGGGGGTGGGGGGGGGGGGGCTTCATGAAAATTCTCAAGACAAAGAGTGCCAAATAGGACATATGTTAAGGATCTTTTTAAAAGTGTATGCTTTTTTTCCTGGTTAGCAGTGTGGTCCAGGGGTTTTTTCAAATAGATCTATTTGTGGACTTTTCTGCAAAACTCTCAAAATCCAGAGAATTTTTAGAAAATATTTATATTTGGGAAAAAGAGTCAGCCCAAAATATTACATGTACAAGTAAAAAAAAAACAGGAAAGTATGGAATCCGGATAGGGCCACGGAGTTCACTATCGCATCATCGCACCATCGAGGTTTAGGTCGATAGTGCGATAAAGAGATAATGCGATGACGATGAGGCGATGTTGCGATAGCGATGAAGTGATGGTGCGATAGCACGATGACGATGATGCTATGGCACGACAATGCGATGACGATGGTGCGATAATGCGATGACGCGATGGTACGATGACGCGATGGTGCGATAGTGATGACACGATGATGCGATGACGATGAAGCGATATTCACTATCGCTCAATCGTGCTATCGCACCATCGTCATCGCGCCATAGCATCATCGTCATCGCGCTATCGCATCATCGCTTCATCGTTATCGCACCACCGTTTCATCGTTATCGCGCCATCGCATTATCGCGCCATCGACCTTTAAGTTGATGCTCGATGGTGCGATAGTGAAGTGCGTGGCCCTATCCGGATTCCATAGGAAAGACTTAAATTAGTTTTTTTTTATCATGTGTTAAGGATGAAGTGTGCTCATTGTACTGTATAAGCAAAAGTTTTAGCGATTTTTATATTATCAACAAAAGTGTTGAAATAGCTAAAATTTTATGTCTCTAACAATTAATTGTGGGTGAATGATGAAATTACTTCTTGCTAAAAATATATACCAATTTTAAAAAGTGAATTGCAAATTTATGTCTCGCTAAAAATTCCACTTACCGTATTCCGTATTTTTTCTGTATTTTATCAAACAACGCTTAGACTAAACAGGAAGTAAGTGGACTTTGTTGTAGACATTTGTCAGAAAAGAGTCTGTCTTTCGTTCCTCTTTCTTAAAATTTTTTACTTCAGAGAATCTGTTGATATTGTGTGTAAATGTTATAATGTGTTCCCTAGCCTTTGTTTTATGACTGCTGAGTTCTTAATGCTCCAATTTTTATAATGGGAAAACAGGAGCTACAGAATTGGACCGAAGCATTAAGTGATGAGATGCATTATTTATAAGAGCTAAAAAATTTCCTAGGATACATGTCACAGAATTTTGACAAAAACTTTTAATGGTATTAAAATAATATAATCCCCATCCCAAAGCACAGAACTGCATTAGCTCTATGCAGGTATTCTCGTTCATCATATAAGTCTCAAAAGGGATTGATAATATTATTATGTCCGTTGAAATTTACGCATGAGTTATTTCCCTGTAAATAATGTCTTTGTTTCATGACTATGAGCTCACTGTCCCATTATGAAATCCAGGAGATGACATAGAACTACTAGAGTTTTTGTTCCACTAGAAAATTTAGCCTTTTTATTGGTGACACACATAGACCTTCATACTTTCATTTGCTATGGCCCTATAAAGTGTCAGTTTTGGTTGTGTGTCAATTCTAATTTTAGTCTGGATGTGTGTTCCTCATTTGACTTTGTGGAAACAGATGTCCTTGAAATAATTTTTTTTTATATACTTCATTTGTATAATAGGTTCTTTAAAGTTTTCAGCAGATAGGATTCTTCAGTTGTTAGTATTTGTCAATGTGCATATAGGTAAAATTTGGTAAAGCTTTATTCTAATATAAAGTGAAAAGTTGAATTTTTGATATTAAGTAAGGTCAGTTGATTTCTCTTGGTAAAAGTAACTAGCTTGTGTCATCAAAACATCAGGACATGAAAATATCCACATAATAATAGACAAAGCTTTTGATTATTTTGATATTCACCATTTAATAAAATGACACATTATAGATTTCCCCAATAGAGTTTATCTATTTGCTGCCAGTGTCTAACTTTAACACTTTTTAACATTACAGATCTGTTAGTGGTAGGATCTCCTCCAGTCGTAGTACGAGCGTTACACCAAAGATCACCTCCAAAACAATGATCCACAACACGCCGGACACCAACAACAGCCTGGCGTCGAGCGGTTCCCATCTGGCGCAGATGGAGCGGGTGGTGACCCCTGGTCGGAGTGACCACAACGACACCCAGAGTATGGACAGTTCACTGTCCGGGAGCCACTCCCTCCACTCGCCCAAACTGGACCACGTTCAGAAGAGCCGGGAGGGGACCCCCGGGGCCGAGGAAGAGGGGGAGCAGGAGGGGGAAAACAATCCCCTCAGAGGTGCCAGTTTTCTTGTTACTAACTCTGAATGTTTAGATACTAATTCCCATATCTTGTCAGCCAATCACAATGTATATGACAATGGTAACCTTGTAACTGATGATCCTAAGTTTTCAGGTGGTGGTGGTGGTGGTGGGCATAATAGTATATGTACTAATAACGGGAAGGTTTCTTTAGTTGATAATGATGTTTCTGTAATAAATATAAAAGCAGGGGAAAGAACTTATTCTCATGAGCACACAGGAAATGTTTCTCACCTTAAAGATGGCAAGAAAGTCATGTTTGCAGAAGATGTGAAGGATTCATCGCCGCCTTCAGAAATGTCAGATTCTTCTACAGAACAGAAACAGATGACGAGTCAAGCTGGGAAGTTTGTCATTACATTAAATGAGGAAATACCAGCAGGGACTTGTATTAAAGTCAGTGTGGAGATGTCCCCAGTGAAAGAAATCCCTAACTCCTTAGAGGAGAAGGAAGGTATGACAAAGACGGACACGGTGGATCAGTGTGTTGTAAGTGCCAATTCTTATCATCAGGATTCAGTGGATCACTGTGAACCTTCTGCAGCATCAGGAAGTGTGGAGGAGGGCAAGTCCGTAATGGTTACCTCCCCTCACGGGGCATCTCCCGAGGTAGATAGAAATGAAGTCAGCAGCTCAGACGATCTCATTGAAGACATTCCATACTACCTGGAAAGGAGGCTGTATGAAAATAATGGAGCAGACGTTCAAGAAGCGACCAAAAGTCCTCCCTTCATCAGGCGAGGAAGAAGCTCTAAGAAGAGAAGACCCACCAACATGCAGATTGAGCATGTTAAGGTGTACGAGGGGGGAAGCGAGTCCAGAAACGAGTCGCCTGTGTCTGGGAGATCGGTGTCCTGGGACAAGGTGAAAAGTATGTCACCTTCAGGTAGGTCACAGATGAGTAGATCCCCATCCACTGGACCGCGACATTCCAGTAAATCCTCACTAGAGAGGTCTCCGTCATGCAACAGAAAGTTGGAGCTGGTTAATATTCACCGACTCCCACCAAAAGACAGTTTCTCTTCTGTAGATGATACCACTAGCCCAACCTTGGAGAGGGATGTCATCAGACACATACAGACAAGGGGAATTCTCAGCAAGAGTTTGTCTTTTAGAGGGGAGAGTGATAGGAAGGTTAGGAATCCCAATCTGAGCAAAAGTAAATCATTTCATGGAGAAAGAGATATCAGGAATAAGATTCCGAATGGGGAGGTGAAATTTATCGGTGAACTTCACAGAAAAATGAGTGAATTTGCAGGGAAAAAACAATTAGATGAAGAGAAACAAGATGCTTCCTATAAAGATAAAGAATTGAAAAATAAGAGAGAGAAAGATAGTAAGTCAGTTAGTCCAGAGGTGGAGGAATCTAGAACTCCAGAGGCTGCTAGATGTGAGGAGATGCCTGTGTGCCTGGTCCAGGGGCTTTCAGAATGTATCAGACAGGATTTAGACCAGCCCTCACAAGCTGCAACTTTTCTAATTCAAGATAAAGGCCCCCCTTCTAGAAAACCCAAGTTAAAAAATATCCCATTTTCCACATTCAAGCCTGTGGATATTTCCACAGGAGCTGAGTCCAAGCCTGGCAATAGTGGGATGGGTGATTCAGAGATGGATACCAAGAGTGACTATGGTTCACTGCCGTCTGCTAAACACGCAGACAGCAAGAAGCCACTAGAGATCCGAACACAGCCAGGAGAGGTGGTTTTCAATCCAACAAATACTAAAGTGAAGCCTGCCCAGTCAGAGGTGGATCAGAGAGATAAGTTCTATGGTCCTCAGAGACCCAGGAAAGTAAGCTTTCACAGAGAAAGAGGCTACAAGTATAGCTTTGAGAGTGTAAACGATCCTCCTGCATTTGCTTTAGTGGACTTGTGTCATTTTGATACCCCCCGACAAGGTCCTCCCAAGTCAGAGTCTACAGATGTTCTGGATGTCCTCGAGCGTTTGGAGGATGAGGACATGGTGGAATCCGACACATCTGAGTCCTGTACTTCCTCTCTAGACTCTGATGCCCAGAGTGAGCACAGCAGCAGTGACGAGGAAAGTCACAAACAGGACGAGTTCCTGAAGTTTGCCAAGAGTCTGGCCGACTCTGGGAAGGAAACCACCAAAGATTCCGGTGTGGGGGTGGATGAAGGACTGGTGAGAGATCTTTCATTAGATGACCCAGGGGAAGAGGACAAAAAGACTGAGGGTGTGTCAGGGGAGAAAAGTGAACATAGTGGGAGGTCCCCCTCAGACACACTCCCCGTGATCCCTGCCTCACTGACGGACTCTAGTCTGAGCTCGGTGGAGTCCGACAGTGATCGACCCCCGGGGTGTAAGAGGTACAGTCTTGATCCCCTGGCTGACCTGGAGAATCCCAGTGTAGCAGACGTCGATACTTCCTTCAGCGATTCCTCATTAGAGGAGGACGGGGATTGTGGAACAGAACAGAAAGGAGGCTTTGTCATTCCAACCTTGACCTTCAGTCTCCCTTCCAGCCCCGATGTTTCTGTTGGAAGTCCGCAAGAAAACCAAAACAACGAATTTGGGTCATCTTATTGTTGATGATACAAGTTTCTAGCTGTGTAATATGTCAATTATTGTAGAAACTACTATTTTTTGTATTGAAGCTGATATTTCATTTGTAGTACGAACTCATCTGTAAAACAGAAAAGGAAGAGTATGCCAATAGGTACAAGGGTGTTCAATTTTTTAGCACTATTACTATAAACAATTTAAAAAAGGGAGGTCATTCAAAGAAAATGAAGTTCAGTTGTGATATGATGACTATTTCCCTATAAAATGTATGCATGGGATTTTCCCTGCAACATGACTTGGCAACAGTAATTTGTTTCCAATTTAATAAGGTTTAAATGTTTACCATGTTTGCATACTTCGTAGTGGTATGTATCTATCTAGAGGGACATTTCTCATTAGAACTTATGTATGTATATACAGCTCAACGCACTTTTTAAGCTCACATGGTTTTTCGCACAAATTAAGGTCACATTGCTATAAATGTAATATGTAGAGAGACAACAAAATGCATTTTAAAAGTACTTGTTTACATTATATGAATTTTATTTCATTTACTAAAACATAATTTACACAAATAAGTTAATAGAACTATGATATATTCATGGCTAAAAAATAACGACTTTTCCCATTTGATTTTTTGTTGTTTCTTGCCAATTGTTGCTGTCGTTTTTTCCGTTCTTTTGAAATCAGTATATCTTTGCAGAAACGTAGACATGGGCACAGTAAAGCTTGTGTAATTAGTATTTTCTGTATATTCTAACTCTTTAGCGCGGGATGATAAAAGTATTTTTCATCTGTTTGACTGCTTTTTGTGTTAATAAGGTAGCATTTTTCAGAGTTACCTTCTAAAATCTAGAATGCAAAATTTTAACGTTTCAAACCGTAAATGCAATAGAATTTTCCTTTTCATAGAAAGAATATATACTTTTTAAAAAATTAAACAATACTTCAATATCCTACCATAAAGTGTTGTTTCTTTCTGCAATGTTATATATTTTTCGGCGCTTCATTTCGACAAAACTAGGAGGAGTATAGTAAATAAACAAAGAATTTTTAAAAATACTCAACTTTAAGAAGAAAATTAAAAAATTTAAACTACATGGTATCAATAAAAGCTCGTATCATATAATTTGTAAAAACCTATGGTAGAATCCTATAGTAGAAACATCGTACCATTGATTGATTAATTCCCTTTTAATACATCCACTTTAGAAACTTAAGATAATAATTTTAAAGGACTTATGTCCTTGACATTATGTATGTAATATTACGTAGGGCTTTTTCATCGTGCTGAAGTTACAAAATGGTAATTTTTATAACAAAAATGTGACCTTAATTTGTGCGAAAAACCATGTGAGCTTAAAAAGTGCATTGAGCTGTATATATTTCATAATTTGGATTGTTATTGTTTTGAATACACATTTAAGCACATTTTTCTCATTGATTATTTGTAAAAGTGAAAGGGGTCATATTTTTTAAGTTCATTGCTCATCAGAATTTATTGGCTGCTCACATTCTAGAATAAACAGAAATTCTGATGTTTTGGAAATTATTTTGTTTTTTATTCAGGTCTCATTTTTTTTTTCCACCTAGTCTTCTGATCTTTTTAAGGTGTATTATAGACATGTTTAATGATAGCATATGGAAATATAACAGTAAATTCAGAGATTGTTAATGTTTTGTTGCAATTAAGTTTTTTTAAAGAAAAATTCAGAAAAAGATAAATTTCTTTTATTAGGAGAATAATTTAGGAACAAATGATGGAGTAGCCTATGAAATTCATTAAACGCCAAGGTATGTGAATTACATCAGTGCGTTAATTACAGTGTAGAGGATTTTTTTTTTTCATTAGAGAATCGAATCAAAATAATTTTTGGAACTTAATTAAAGATTAATTTGAGTACATGTTACATGATCTTTAAAATGGTAATGAAATGCCTAGAATTGATGAAAAAGAAAATACTTTCAGTAGTAGACTTTTTAGGGTCAGTGATTTATTATTCCTTTATTTATTTATTTATTAAAATTATCAAGCCATCAAAATTGATATAACAAATGTTTTTTTTTATCACATACTCAAATATATTTGCTCACTTAATTTTTTTTGCAGTATTGAATCAATTCTCAATCTTATGCTCATAAAGAAGAATCTCATACTTTTTGGGAATGATATTAATTTTTTTGCCATAGATTTTATATTTTTATAGCACACTTTTGTTTATTATATATAATGAATGCATTTTGAAGTAGGCTGTATGTTTTAGGTATTGTTGATATAGCTGTGATAAGAATTTTTGCATGTTATGCATAGATTCTTTTGTTGTGAAGTATTTATTTTCTTTATTTACTTATACTTGTTATTTGTTGAGGTTTTTGTTTGCTTGTTTTTTTTTTTCTTGTTTGTTACGGCTGTTATAGAAAATATATATTTTTTTTTAAGAAAGAGGGCGTATA